GCTGAAGCAAGATATGAAAAACGAGCCCTTTGTGGGCACTTGTCCTTGCGTGCGCTTCCGGAGACCAGGCCAGGCTAGGAGGTCCCTGCACTGGGTCAAACCCACTTCCTTAGACTTGCTAACGGCCACCGTGAATGGAGACCCTCCTCTGTGCCAGGCGCTGTGCAACGGGCTCTGTGCCTCGGTTCTTTAAATCCATACCACGAAGCAGCTGCTATTTTCATCCCCATTCCACAGATGAGGAATCTGAGGCTCAGGGAGGCAAAATCTCTCCCTAGACTACAGAGCCCATGAATGGCAGCGCTGGGCTGCAAACCCCCTTCCCAGAGCCTCAATATTGCCATCTGCCACAGCGCCAGGGGGAGGCTGGAAAGTGCCCGCCTCGAACATCCCCGGAGGTCCTACCGCCCTCAGGACGGGCAAGTGGCCGACCAGGCCAGTGCTTGGCGTATCAGTTTCAATCCCTGGGAAGAAGGTTAAATACCTCCGAGGGGCCCACTGAGGCGGTGGCAGTAAGGGAGGGGGTGACCAAGTGACTTTCAAAGGGGCCTGAATGCCTGGCTGGCCCCTCCCCCCGAGGAGGGGGCCCTGCTTCCTCCCAGCCTAATGATATTCCGGACTCAGCCCTCGTCTTTGGCGGCAGTTTAACCCCAGCCTGGGCGGATTTCTTTCTCACTGATCTCAGCTTGACACCCAATTAGCACAAGAATGGGAGGAGGAAGCCTGCGAGAGGCGCCTCCCAGCCTCCCGGGGCGCACGAGGGGAGCAGGCGGGAAGACAAAAGGCAGCGGGCAGGGGGGCACCCGCGCCCTCGGCTCCCCCTTGCAGACCCTGCCATTGTCTCCCTGGTTGCTTCTGAGGGGCTGGAGGCCAACGCCCGGGCTGGCCGGCCTGCTGGAGGGGACTGGGGATGGGGCCCAAGCCCTTCTGCATAGATCCCAGGGGAAGGCATTTGGGTGATCGGGACCCAACGGGAGGCCGCTGGGGTCAGTGATGCTGAAGGCGCTACAACCTGGGATTGAGGCCTGACACTTAGGGCCCGTGGGCAAACCACTGGTTCTGAGCCTCGATTTTCTCGTTTGGAAAATGGGGATAAGAGTAGTCCCCATGAGTGGTCAGTCAGGCAGTGCATGTACCGCACCTGGCAGGTGTAAGGTGGGCATTCAATAAACACTCCTTGAATGAGTATGTTAAACTAATATTGTCACTAATTAAGAGGTTGAGTGGGTAGGGGTGCCTGGGTGGCTCAGTGGGTTAAGCCTCTGCCTTCGGCTCAGGTCATGATCCCAGGGTCCTGGAATCAAGCCCTGCATCGGGCTCACTGCTCAGCGGAGAGCCTGCTTCCCCCCTCCCCTTCTCTGCCTGCCCCTCTGCCTACCTGTACTCTCTCTGTTAAATAAAAAATTTAAAAAATTTTTAAAAATAAAGGTTGAGTGGGGTAGGCTTCAGGTCAGGAGAAGGATTTTCTGAGACCCAGGCATTCACAATATGGGCTGATGATGGTGATGATTTTAACATTTATTTGAGAGAGGGAGAGGGAGAAGCAGACTCCCTGATGAGCAGAGACCATAGGGCTTGATCCAGGGACTTCAGGATCACCACCTGAGTGGAAGGCAGATGATCACCCAGACTGAGCCACCCAGGCACCCCTAGAACGGGCTGATTTACCCAGAAGGGAACTCCCATCTCTGGGACTAAGCAAGAAGCTAGAGGAATCCCTGTCTGTTGAGATGTGGGAAGATGCCCTCTTCCTAGGTGACCTCTCCCACCTATCATTCCTTTGGATTTGGGCTTAGGTGTGACTTCCAGGGAAGCCTTCCCCAGATACCAGTGCTGGATTAGGGCCCTCCTCCAGCTCCCCCAGGGCCTTATCCTCCCCCTTTAGAACACTGATCACACCGCATGGTCCATTTTTACATTTCTGTGTCTTCTCCTAGAACAGCCCCAGAAGGGCAGGGACCTGTTAGTTTTTTTCGCTGTTGTGTACCCAGCACAAGCACTGGGCCTGGCACTTAACAGGCGCTTAGTGAATGTTTGTCAGATGGCTGGCGCCCTTCAAATGCTCCCTAGCTCTCGAGTTCCAGCCCCAGGAGGGGACAGTTCCCAGGGTGAGAGGATACTCAATGCATAGAGGGTTAGCTGAGATCAGAAGCTCAAGTGCTCTGAACACCTTCTAGGAAGGCCCTTATCTTGTTGGCAAAAAGAGGCCAGTGAATGACTTGGAGTGGGGAGTGGTATGTGTTCACTCACTCATCCCACACTTACCAAACCCGTACAATTACAAAGCTCCTTACCTCAAGCCAAGGATCAAAGAGGAATCAAGCAAGATTTCTGCCCTGCAGGAGCTGGGTCTAATGGAAGAATCTTAGAATATTTTTGCTGAAAGTACCTTAGATCATTTGGGCCCCAACCTTCTTTAAAGATTGGGGAAACTCAGTTCCAGAGAGGGAAAGTGACCAACCCACACAGCATGGTACACGTGGGGCCTTTCCATTTACCGCAGGATTCCTTTGTGCCCTTTGAGGACCAGGGCTCTGTCTCATTTGTCCTCACTTTGTCAGTGCCCTGGAGCCGTGCCTAATACATTGAAATGGCTCAGGGTTCTCCGTGGAGTCAAACTGTACAGTGAAGTCAAGGCCAGAATGAGGGAGGTGGGAGGCAGGCAGAGACAGGTACAGGTGCTGGGTGCTGGTGGTGGTGGAAGACTGGGGGAGGGTTGCAAAATCAGCTTAGACAGGAGATGAATCCAAATCGGTGATTTGAATATGGGAGAGAATTAAGAACAATGTCCAAAGTTTCTTGCTTGAGTGTTTCAGTGGGTGGCAGTCGTATCCTTGAAATGGGGAACACAGGGGAGGACCTATTTTAGGGAAGGAGGCATGTGCCTAGAACTCAGTCCTTGCTAAAACCCTCTGAGTTAGGGGTTGTTGTTATCCCTATTTTACAGATGAGGAAACTGAGGCACAAACATGTAAGTTAAGGGACTTAAAGAAAACAGCTAGAAGTGGTGGGACCTGGGTATAAAGCTGGGAGGTGAATGCCTAGATGCTGCTGCTTTTTTTTTTTTTTTTTAGATTTTATTTATTTGACGGTTAGAGATCAGAAGTAGGCAGAGAGGAGGAAGCAGGCTCCCTGCTGAGCAGAGCACCTGATGTGGGGCTGATCCCAGGACCGGGATCATGACTGGAGCCGAAGGCAGAGGCTTTAACCCACTGAGTCACGCAGGCGCCCCCCCCTTTTTTTTTAAAGTTTATTAGAGCTAGAGAGAATGAGTGGGGGGAGGGCCAGAGGGAGGGGAGTCTCAAGCCAACTCCTTGCTGAGCACAGAGCCTGGTCCAGGATTCAATCTCACAACTCCAAAATCACGGCCAAAGCCAAAGAATCAAAAGCCTAACTGTGCCAGGCGGGCGCCCTGAACTCCTTGCCCTTAACCATTATATCATTCCACCATTGACCATCAGGCTACCCCACTGTAGGCTACCAATGCGGAGTTCAATTTGGAAGTGTGGTTTAGACGCCCTGGGACATTTGTGTTGCTCCAATTCTCCCCTGGGCTTTTGTAACAAGCTCTAGTGGTTTCCTATCTTCCTTGTTCTCCTTCAAACCATTTACACTGCAGCAAGTAAGGATATTTTATTTTACCTTTTTAGTTTTTTTTTTTTTTTTTAAGATTTTATTTATTTATTTATTGACAGAGACAGACACAGCAAGAGAGGGAACAGAAGCAGGGGGAGTGGGAGAGGTAGAAGCAGGCTTCCCACTGAGCAGGGATCTCGATTCGGGGCTCGATCCCAGGATCCTGTAATCACGACCTGAGCCGAAGGCAGATGCTTAATGACTGAGCCACCCAGGGGCCCCTAGTTGTTGTTGTTGTTAAGATTTATTTATTTGAGAGAGACTGCACATGAGTGGGGAGAGGGGCAGAGGAATAGGGTGAGTGAGAATCTGAAGCAGACACCAGCTGAGCTCAGAGCCTGACTCGGGGCTGGATCTCAGGATCCTGAGATCATGACCTGAACTGAAATCAAGTCGCATGTTCAACAGACTGTGCCACCCAGGTGCCCCAGGTAAGCATATTTTAAAACATAGTTCAAATGTCACCCCTTTCCCCCAAACCTTTCAGAGACCTCCCACTGCTCTTAGAACAGAGACTGAAATTCTTACCTGGCTCCCAAGGTATGATTTGGCCCCTGCCCCCTTTCTAACCTCATCTCTTGCCAGGCCTTCTGCTTCCCAACTTCCTATTTCCCTTTTTGGGGTGCTCCAGCACGGTCTCCCACCCAGAGCCTTTACAGCTTCTGTTCTCCTTACTGGAATGCTCCCAGAAGTTTCTCTACCCCTCACATCCACCTACTTTATTCAGGCTTTAGAGTGCAGTTCGGATCCAGCAGTGTGTTTTCTTTTTGAAGTTCGTGTCACTTCAGAGCACTTCCTTCGGTTTGAGAGTTTATATTTATTAGTATGATTAGTTCGTTTATTTGTTTACAGCCATCTTCGCCCACTAGCCTGTGAATGCCCTAAAGGCACGAACCTCGCCCATCGCGTTCACCACTGCACCTATAGCAGTCACCAAGATGACTGGTACACGGAGGACCGGCAAGAAGTATCTACTGAGTGAGTAAAACCCAAATCGATAACCAAAGGGGCGGAGGGACAGCGACTCAATAGCCCAGGAGAGATTGCTGGGCTGGAAATAAAGATTTGCTGTCGCTTAAAATTCAAATCAAGACGAATGGACGTGCTCCCCAAGCGCTGTGCGGACCTAAGATTTGTAACGTGGCTCACAGGTACTGTGCGAAGATGCCCGGGCTCCCGCCACGCCGTGGCTCGCACAAGCCGCGGTCCCCCCAGCCCCCTGAACCCCTCACTAAAAGGCAGAGGGAGACCAAGAGCCTCCAGCAGCGCCGGGACCTACCCTCCTCCGCTCCTTGCTCCCGGACTTCCTCCAATAGTTGCGGAGGATGGCTCCCTGGGTGCCGCCTCTTCCGTCTACAGCTACCGGAAGTGGGGCGGGTGCGCCGGAAGTTGATGGGAATTTCCTGTGAGCTCGGCTTCCTCAACATGGCAGCGCCCTTGTCAGTGGAGGTGGAGTTCGGGTGAGTCGCAGAACTGGGGCGCCGTGGGGATGGATTGAAGTCGTCGGGCCGGAGCTCCCCTCCTTCTGCTTTGGGCCCCGTCACGACCGAATCGCTGAGGCTCCCGGCGCCTTCCCAGAGTTACGCCACCCGCCTCGGAGAGTCTGAGAGGCTCGGTCTCCCTTGGCGACGGGGCCGTATGTCCGGGAATAGAGGCGCAAGACCAGGCGTCGAGGTGCCCTTTGGGCACTCCTCAGTGCCCTCTGCCCTGCCGGACCCACTAGGCGTGACGGTTAGCTGGCGGCCTCCTTATCTTCCTTGATAATCCCGTTTTGGACCAGGCCCGTGTGTCTGGCATCTGAGCTCCTAGAACCGAGAAGGACCACCCTTCACCCCCCAGATTTCTTCCCCTGGGCAGCAGTTTCTTGCACGGTTACTAGAACCTGTTTCTCTTGGGATATGTAGCCAAGACGGGACTCCTTCTCTCTTTCAAGATTTGGGAGTGTTAAACAGACCTGAAGCCCTTTCAGGATCTTCAGGATGAACTTGCTGATAGCTTTCTGCAGATCTTGAGTCAGGTGGAAATGTGGGGATAAATAAAGAGCACAGTGGAGGAGGCTAAGTTGACAGTACAGCATGCGTGAGACGAGAGGAGTGGGATTGGGGCACACACACCAAAAGCTGAAGAAAACCCAGATCAGGGAGGAAATCTCCTCAAGCCACTATCTTCTGTCCCTTACAGACAGGTGTGTCGTGTGACTTCAGAGCTGAGAAAGACCACAGAGCGTAGAGAGAAGGCAAAGAAACTGAGACCCAACAGATGGGTGGTAGAATTAGGGTCACATGGGAAAAGCCGGGACTAGATGTGTGTGTGCACGTGTGTGTGAAGATAAACAAGCCAAGGCTTATATGAAAGGGGAAGTCTGAAACGGGAATCTAAAACCTCTACCCGTAAATGCCTTTCCTTCCATTGGGTGCCCGCAGTTTCTTTCATGTTTTCCCTTCATTGGATAGTCCATTCAGTAACCATTTATTGAGTGCCTATCATGTGCCAGGCAGTGAGCCAGGCACTGAGGATACAAAGATAAATAGAACTCTGTCCATGTCCTCCAGTGTTCAGTGTTTCTGTCCGTTAGAATAAGGGAGTAGTCTCATGAATGTTAACTGCGTTTTAATTGACAATATTGTCTGGCCCCTTAGGTCCAGTTAGAACGATACTGGGCTGGCCTCCTGTCTGTTTTGCTTCACTGACCCTTGGCTCAGCTATACACCCACCCTACCCCAGGCCTTCATAGCTTGGATGTTCTAGGAGGATCCCTGCTGTTTTGACCTCTCCTGAAAAGGGAGAAGCTGCAGGCTGCCGGTGTTAAGGGTTATCCTGAGTGCGCTTACCTTTCATTCTTACTGAGTCAGACATGGTATTTGTTCATCAGGAATGTGTCTGCCAGGTACTGTGCTGGCAGCAGTGGTCAGTCCTTCTATGAGGAAGATATGGCCTCTGCCTTCCAGAGCTTACGGACTAACTTAATTACCCTTTTTTTTAGCCTAAATATCTCTAGCTTCAGCCTCCCTCACCCCCAAGAGCAAGAGTGAGCCCCACAACTTTCCTCCCCTGTCTCCCCATCTCCTAACACCTCCTGTCACTGACACAGCATCCCATGAGAATGGCACCTTCTCAGGAAGCAAGACTGTCTAAGATGTGTGCCAAACCCAGTTTCCTTCTCTCTTTGTCCCAGTGCATGTTTCGCCCTTAGCTTCTCTTTCATTATCTACATTTCTTAGTGGATTTCCTTCACCCATCACTGTGAACCTGAGCAGATTTGCAAAGAAACTGCCTTGCCCATCATCCTCTCCCTTCTGTCTCTTGAGGGCCACTCTGGTCCTTGAAGAGTCCAGTTAGGATTTTGCCCCTTTCCCCTGAGCAGATGTGGTTCTGTCAGTCCCCCACCAGCTTTGACAAACTCTCTAGAAGACCTCTCACACCTTTCACTCTCTTGTCAGGAACCAGTTCTGCCGTCCTTTGTTGTGCTTCCTGAACTATCCTGAGCAGCAAATCTCCTCCTATCACACAAGATTCAGAGTATGCAGTGGAGATGTGTTGTGTGTCCCTGCAGTCCAGATGTGCGATTATCATCCCTTTTCCTTATTCCTGAGACTGGTCAGTGTTGGCAAAGGGAGATAGGGCCATCGAGGCCAGAGAAGAAGGAGAAATGGGCATTTTCATTTATTCGGCAAATACTTCTTGAGTGCCTACTGTGTGTCAGACCCTGTTTTAGGCAGAGCTTATAGTCTAGCAGGTAGAAGGGAAATTAAACAAAACAAAAAATACATGAGATGAGCTAATGGAGATAAGCTAGAAACAGTGAGGGCAGTTTGGGGATCATCTGTACCAGCCACTAGTACCAGCAAACACTCCCATCAGGAATTAGGGGTGGAGGGAAGATGAAGTAGCTTCAGATGTAACTCCTTAGCTGAGTTTGAACAGCAGACCCTGTAGGACATCAGAATGTCTGGCTTTGGTTCTCTTCTGTGACCAAAACAGGCCCCTTGCCCGCCTTCCTGAATCTCTCCAGAGGCTGGGTGTTCACCTTCCTCCCCTCCAGATGCGCTGGCAGTAGAAATGCCAACCCCTCCCTTGGGGGCCCAGTGAACCCAGTGGTGACAGGTCACTCTGAGCGAGACTGCTTCTCCCATTCTCCGCTTGCAAAGGGAAAAATAGCCTTGGCCTCTGAGCCTGGTACCACCAGGTTTGGCCACTCTTGGTTGTTTGCCTGGGTCCCAGTGCCTCCAGTTCCCACCCCTCTTCTCTGACCCCCAACTCCTAAGCCCCTTGCCTGTCACCCTCCCCCACCCCAGCTGCTGCATGTGCCAGCCCCCACCCAGGAGAGAACGAGGCTCTTGGAAGGGGATAAATGGAGGCTCTGTGCAGGCCTGCAGCTGAAATGGCCCTGCGCGCGGCCACAGATGGGCCTCCTCTCCCCCTCCACATTTCTGCATCAACAAAGCGTGACCTTGTTTAGATGACAGTCGCCCCATGTTTCCCCCATGACAATGCTTGCCTTGCCTTTGCCTCCCAGTGGACTGTCTCAGGACATCTCTGTTCTCTGAAATTGGGAAAGGGTGGCGGGGTGGGAAGCGTCACATCCATCACAAGTCTGTTAAGGCCTTCTCAGTTAAGATCCACGTGAAGTCTGAGATGGGAATCAGGAGACCCAGAGGAAGAAGCACTATGGGGCATTGAAAGAGCCCTGGTGTCCTCATCATAAGCTGCAGCTTCTGGACTTGGCTCCAAGCATCTCTGTGTCCCAGCTTCCCCTTGGCCGGGTCGTGGCATACGGAAGTGAACCAAGATCTACCTTCAAGGGGCTTTCTGACCTTTGGGGAGTCTGGTTTTCTTTCTGCCAAAGTTGCTGGGGCTGAGCAGAAATCAGTTGGAATTTAGATCTTACTTCAGCCACTGCTTGTATGACTTTGGACAAGTCAGTTAACGTCTCTGGGCCTCGGTCTGCTTCTCCATTGGATGGAACTGATAATGCTTGCCTTCCTTCCTCCTTACCTGGGATGCTCTGCAGATGAAATGAGATGAAGAGAGTTCTAGTAAATGGCAAAGTTATTGCTCAGCCCCGTGGAGTCTCAGCCCGCAGCACCGTGGTGTGCCCACCAGGCCAGCAGTGAGTGGCACAAGCAGAGACATTTCAGACCCACCCCTGGCCGGCGGAAACCCCTCAACACGTAGGGTCTCCGTCATGTCTGATGCTGGTTCCTCAACACTTGTGTAGATAGAAAGAGATTGAGGCTTGGGAACACGAAGTCACGTGCCCGGGGTCTGGGCATCAGGTAGAGGTGGAGCGTGGTCTCCATCTCAGGGCAAGGGCTCCAAAGCTTGTGCCCCCACACCCATATACTGAGCTGCCTCTTGAGAAAGCAAAGGAGTCAAAATGAGACTCTGCAAACTTGGGTGCCTGATCATTGGTAGAAATTATTTACATCCCACTTGTCCGCATCAGGAAGTCACGTGTGCGCATCAGTCACATACTTGTACTCGAGCTGCCCCTGGGCCTTGGTCTGTGCATCTCCTGGGCTTCTCATGTCAGCCCCTCCCTCCTCGGTTCTCAGCCTCTGCTAGGTTTTTGCAGGAGCTCACCTGGCCATCTTTCTCTGGCCCTCCTTTGCAGAGGCGGCGCGGAGCTCCTTTTTGACGGCATAAAGAAACATCAGGTCACCTTACCTGGACAGGAGGAGCCCTGTGAGTATGCGCTTCCCGAGCCCCTCTCTGGGGGCCGCTGAGCAGGAGTCTAAGGGGTCACTCAGCCCTGTGCCAGAGGGAATGGGTAGGCTCTCCCTGGCCAGTGGGAGGAGAGTAAGGAAGAGACATCACCAGAGTACCCTTCCCCGGTGCTCTCTGGGATGAGCCCGCTTTGCAGGAGGGACGTAGCGTAGCTTAGTCCTTACAGATGCAGGTTCTTTATTCAGACAGACTGGAGTCTGGATCTCCTTAAAACCTCAGGCCCGGCGGAGCCTCACCTCTCTGAGCGTTAGTGTCCTTACATAGGCGGTAGGGACGGAAGTCCTTATGTGCTAAAAGCTATAGCATACGTCTCCGTTGTTATTCGATGGCAGCAGAGCGGTGTCCTCGTGAAGGGAGTCACCTTTATCAAGGATGGAACAGTGTGGATGGGCTCACATGGTGAGAGGATTTAGATGAGGCGGAAAGTATCCAGCCGGAGAGGATAGGGACATCAACTAAGGGACACGGGTTTTTTTTCATTCATCCGTCCGAGCACTCATTCGTCTTCCTTTCGCAAGTATGTATTGAGCACCTCCTGTGTGACAGACCACGAGCCAGGCGCCGGGGAGACATGCAAATATGAGCCAGTTCCTGCCTTCACGCTGGAGGGTGGGGTTCAAAGAGGTAACTTGCAGGCTTCCAGCTGGGTACATGTCCATGTAGCCCAGAGGCAGGAGCCTGGGCATGGCAACCCCAGAGGTGCTTGGCGGCCCTGGCAGTGGGTCCTCACAGGAACAGGATGCTTAGGAATGGGAGCCCATTTCCGCCTCAGGCTGAGATGCTTCTGGCGATGGGGAGGGAAAATCAGTCCTATGAGGAGGCAGGGGACTGGGGTTCATGGAAGCGGGCAGATGAGAAATGGTCGTGAGGTCTGACAGGGTTCTTCTGGAGCTGGACACACATCTGTGGGAACCAAACAGTTGCCCAAATTCACTGGCTGCCAAGGCTGTCTGTGACCCTCCCTTGGTTGGGGAGCAGTGGCCCAGTGGTGGGGAGGGCGTGTCTGTGTGCCACATTCCGAGCCTGCGGGACATTGACCAAAGCACAGGACGCTGCTGTCCTTGACCTGGAAGTGGGCGCGAGCTGGGGTGAAATGTCAGGACTGGGGGGACAGTGTGCGTCCCCACTGGGGGAAGACCCGGGGAGATATCTCTTCGTTAGACAGATGGCCACACACAGCCTGAGGAGGGCATGAGGGGCTCTCAAAAGAAGCCTGTCAGAGGGGTGCCCGGTGGCTCAGTGGGTTAAAGCCTCTGCCTTCGGCTCAGGTCGTGATCACAGGATTCTGGGATCGAGCCTCACATCAGGCTCTCTGCTCGGCATGGAGCCTGCTTCCTCCTCCTCTCTCTTCCTGCTTCTCTGCCTACTTGTGATCTCTGTCTGTCAAATGAATAAATAAAAGTCTTAAAAAAAAAAAAAAAAGCCTGTCAGAGATCCTGGCTGGGAAGTTAGTGAAGCCTCAGGAGTTAGGATTCATTTCCCCTGCGTTTGCGTGGCGTGGACGTCCCCAGGCTTAGTGACTCCAGCTGCTGTCATTCGTCCAGTGGCTGAACAGCTGCCGTGGGCCAGAGCTGGAAGAAGTGCTCACTCCGAGGCTGTGGCTGCCAGATCTTGTTCTGGTGCCTTCTTTGTATCAGGCACAGTGCTAGCTGCTGGGCACGCGGTGGTGAGCAAAACGCTCGCGGTTCTTGCCCTGCATGGAATATAGCGGAAGTGGAGGCAGGCTGCAAACCAGGAAACGCCGAATGTGGCGGGCGTTGGCGTCAGGAAAGCATGCGGGTGTTTCGAGGGAGAACACGTGGTGAGGGAAGGCCTTGAAAGGGGTGACTTTGAGGTGAAGGCCTGAAGGGTAGAAAGCAGCCAGCCTGGTAAGTTGGGAGGGAGAGCAGAGGTGCAGGGGGCCCGTTCCAGGCAGAGGGGGTGGCTCTTGTGAGGGCCTCCAGGTCAGCAGCCTCAGGGTGGCCTTCAGTCCGGGAACCGAAGAAAGGCCCGTGTGATGAGGACCATAGGCTGTTGGGCATGGTAGGCACAACCTCAGTTGGTTGCGCAAGTAATTGTCACAGATTCTTAGATGGTGGCCGCCATTACTGTTCCCATTTTAAAAACTGGAAACCCCAACTCAGAGGTGTCAAGGGTCATCTTAGTCCACACCATGCAGTTATTTAAATGGCTGAGCTGGGATTTAGAACCAGATTTCAGGGTCTCCGAAGTCCTTGCATGGTGCCACGAACTCCCTGAGTCCCATGACCTCTCGCGCCTGCAGTGTATTTTCTGGTTTCTGCACTTTTCATTCGTTCGTTCGTTCATTCATTCATTCATTCATTCATGCCTTCAATAGCTACTTACTTTAATTTTTGTAATAACCCCAGTAGATATTCTATATGATCAAGGAAACCAAACCTCAGAGAGAGAGAGACCTGTCCAGAGTTCTCTGAGTAGGGAGGAGGGGCTAAGACCCAGGTAGCTGATCTCTCCTCCTCCGTTCACTGCTTAGCAGGTAGCTGGGGCCTACCCTCCCACCTCTGGGATGGCAGAGAAGCAGGCATGGAAGAGAAGCTGAAATGGCCCCTTGACTTAGTCTCTGGGCCCTTGGCTGTGGGTTTCCATCCCTGGTCCCATGTTTGCCCTGCTGTGCCCAGAGGCGTAGGTCACAGCGCAGCCGCAGAGCTGGCTGGCAGCTGCCAGGCATCACCCTGGCACACAGGAGCCCAGCGGGTGCCGCCGGCAGAGTCTCACTCTTCCCCCCGGCCCGTGCCCAGCTCTGTCGCCTGGCAGCCTTCCCAGCCCAGGGGCTGCCACTTGGCCAAGCAGGTCTTGGAGACTCCGGCAGAGAAAATAGCAACCATAAGATTATGGATTGTGACAAGTCTCACAAACAAGGGGACTCCAGGGCCCTGGGTCCCGGGCCAGGGGAGAGCTTCTAACCCAGCCAACTTGGGAAAAGAGGATGGGCAAGACCAAAGGGGATGAGCCTGCCCGAGGAGCTCTGGCAGTACATGTTTGCAGATCCCTTACTTCTGTGGGTCTCTTTTTTCCCGTCTGTGAAACAGGATGTCGGGCCAGAGTTAGTCTTTTTTGAGCTGGTTACCCGTTGGACAGCTGCAGTTCAGAAAAGTTGCTTCCAGATCTGAGCACACAATTCTGGACATGAGAATGTGTTGTTGGTGAGAAGTGTGCTTATCGAGGGGGACGTCCTAACAGCCATCTCTGAGGAACAGGCCATCTCCTTGATTGGCAGGGGTTGGTAGGCGCCATCAGTTTCGGACATGGTGGCCACTGGGGGCTGGTTTTTAGGCATCAAGGTCTCTTCAGTGCAAGGCTCCCAGCCTGTGATGGGTCAGTGGCCTGGAGCAAACCCAAAATGGCAGGGGAGACAGACTGTCCCTGTGTGGGCCTTACCTGCCCTGGTCCCCAGGAGGAGACACCAGGCCTCACCTTTCCCTGCCCTTCTCCCTCTGCCCTGCCTTTGTATTGCAGGGTGGCTGGCCTGGGAGCTGGAGCTCCCTGCGCTTTAAACTGCTTAGCATGCATTTCACAGCCTCTCTGGGGCCAGCTGTTCCTTTCTCTGCTCTGGGGCCTGTTTGCTGATCCCCTCCCCACCGCCCTCCTCTCCCCCAACCCCTCCCAGTCCCTGTGCAAAATTGCTTTTGAAAAGATCCACTTTCTGCTTAATTAAACAATGAGGAGCGTCCCCTGCACATCTGTAAACCTCCTTCTGAGGCCAGTTTAGCCCACAAACTGCTCCATTCTTAGCCCCATTCACTTGTAAATGGACCCTCTGATGTTCCCTCTACCCTCTCTTCTCCTTTACTCCCCCCATCCCTGCTCTTTCTTCTCCCTTTTCAACTAAGGTCTGGGGTGGGCTCCCGAAGAGCCTGGAGCCTGGTGGACTTGGTGGGAACTGGAGCAGTTTAACCTTATGGAGGAGAAGACTTAGGGGAACCAGCTCTCCCAGATCTGAGTGGCATGGGGAAGAGGGGCCGCTTTTGTTGGTGTGGTCGCCATGGACCAGCAAGGCTCCTTGCGGGGAGTGTCAGGAAGACAGATTTCTGGTTAGGAGAAAAGCTCTCCCTGGAGGTCGTCCAAGAGAGGCTGGATGTGGGTCTCTTGCAGTTGGGGTTCAATAATAGATAAGACCTTTTCAGCCCTAGAAGGTAGGATGGACACTGGGGGAGGGGCCCTGCCACAGTGGAGGGTCAGTATCCCCAGACAAGGATAGTCTACTGGAGCGGGCGATCCTGGCAAGAGCTTCTGTAGGTGCTCCCTAAGAGTGGTTTGCATGGTGCCCCTTTGCCAGCGGCTGGCAGCCGAGAGGATAAGGAGCCTTGAGTCACTGTGGCCAAAGGACATTGTCGTGTGTGTTGGACACTCCATAGGGCCTGCTGCTGCCTTGTGCCTGAACCAGCAATGGTTTGAGGTTTGGATTGCTGTCCCCATTATTAGTCAGAGGCTGACCCTGAGACTGAAAGGCAGGGTGACTTCCTGCCCAGGGCATCTGGCAACAAGCAGCCCAGGGTCTCCTGGCTCCAGAAGCCCAGGCCTTGGCCACCCTGTCGCAGAGCAGCGGCTGAGTGCTCGGGCCAGGCTTCCTCACCGGAGACCTCATATTGGGTGCTCATCTGGCGCCTGTGTTCTGCCCCCTCCACCCCGCCTAAGAATGGGATTCCTTCCATCTGGGTTGTTAGGGAGCATGTTGGGGCTCTGAACATCCAAAACGGAGGGAAGGGGCCACCTGGCGGCTCAGTCAGCAAAGCATCGGACTCTTGACCTTGGGATCATGAGTTCAAGTCCCACGTTGGATATAGAGGTTACTTGAAAAAAAATAAATCAATAAAACGATTTTTATAAATAATTAAATAAAATGGAGGGAAGGCCAGTGTCTGGGGCCCCCTCACCATTCCTAATCCCCCCATTCCTTCATCGCCTTTCCTGCTTCTGATGGCAAGGTCATGGGTCCCTCGGAAAGCCCCAGCCAGTCCCAGAGCTATCCGATGAGTGAACCCCACCTGCCAGGCTGTCCAGGCAGAATCCCCAGGGGGCCAGGGGCCTGCGCAGAGCCTGCAGAAGCTCAGGACACTGGGAGAGGGCAAAGGGTACAGGTTTCTCCTCTGGATCACAGAGCGATTACGGCACGAAGGTGCCAGGAGCCCCGTGTGGATCGTCTTACTCGGTCCTCATGATACCCCTGTTACTGGCATTCTTACCCTTCCCACTTCCCCGGGAGGGAAGCTAAGGCTCAGAGAACCCTGTGGCCAAGGAAGGGTTAAGCAGAGTCAGGGACTGGTGGCTCTGGGGGATCTCCCGTGCACCTTCAGGAAGTAATAGCTCAAACCCAGAACCAGGACTGTCTCTGCTCTCAACCTCTCCCCCCTGCTCTGCAGTGTCCACGTGTCAGCGAACATCACAGGCGGGTTCTTTACGTGAGACTCGGTGCTGTGTGCTGGGGGCCGGTGCCGGGTCCTCGGGACACACTCCAGTTCATAACAGTCATGCGTGCATTTGAGCTGGATCTTGATACTGCGTGTCACCAGAGAAACATGGAGCACATTTGGGGTTCACAAGGAAGGAGAGGCCTCTTCCAGAGCAGACCTATCTCAAGGCCCCTGCACGCCCTGCATGGTCCGGCCCCTGGCGACTGCTCTGGCCTCCTCTCGTGCTGATCTTCTTGTCTTCTCTATTCTGTTACCTTGAACCTGCCAATCCCATCTTGCCTCAGATCTTTATGTATGTTCCTTCTTCTGCCCGGGGTGCTTCTCCCTCCCGCTTTACTCATCCTTCAGGCCTCGGCATCAACCCGAACATCTCAGAACAGTTTTCCTGCCCCCGTACTAAGGAGATAGCCTTTATGGCAACTAATTCAATCAGTGGTGGCTGTCTCCCCTGCTAGCCTGTTAACTCCCTGAGGGTGGGCTCTACATCTGCTATCTTCCTAGCACCTGGCACATAGTAGTTGCTCAATAAATATTTGTCTTGTGAACGACTGCATGGGATCCCAGGAGAGAAGCCGCCCTCAGTAGAAGTGGGAAGGCAGGAGGACCTAGAGGGGGAAGGTGAACTGGAGATCCCCCAGAGCCACCAGTCCCCAACTCTGCTTAACCCTTCCTCCTCCCCTGGGCGCCTTTGGAAGCCGACCATCTGGCTTGGAAGCTATTTGCATATTGTCTGGGCCTCAGCAAGCCTAGCAAGATGTCCCTGGGGGTGTGTTTCAGGCCAGGCCGAGTGGCCTTTGCAAGGCCTCCCTGTGAAGGGAGCAGCGAGTAAGAGTTCCAACTCTCCCCACCCCCAAATCCAGGCATGGGGGAACAATACGGCGACCTCACCATGGAAACAGGCTATCAAGAATGTGGGCAGGCCTGGGGGGCACAGAGGAGGGAGGGAGTGACCTCAGCAAAGAGGAGCATCATGATAAATGAGCCTATACCGACAGCAGACTCACCCCCCAGTCCACCCCTCTGGGACTCCATGATGGTGCCATCTCTCGGATGACCCCAACATGACCACTAGCCCCCACCCTTCCCCCAGCCTACCCAGAGTGGAGCAGAAGCCCCCTCCTTTTGGAGGGAGACCAGGCCCTTAACCCAACTGGGTCCTGATTCTGTACAGGCCAGCCGGGGCCGTGGAGGTGCAGCTGGTGGCCCTGGGGCCAGGCACTGCCCGGCGCCTCTAGGCTCCTCTACACACACAGGCACAACCCCGCCTGCCGCGGCTGGCTGATGGATGTGTCAGACCCCGGCGGCCGTATCGAGCGGCCACAAGATATATGGGCTGGCGGCCCACCAGACAGTGCCAAGATGGAGGCCGAGGGGGAGCCTCTGAAACCAGGCCTCAGTGGGGAGCCCAGCCAGGAGTCCGAATGGACTGCAGCTAGTTGGAGGCGACACTCCACACCCCCTGCCCACTCCAGGGACCATGAGGGCTCCAATCTGCTTTGTTTAAAAGCAGGAATTACAACTGAAAGGCTGCAGCCTCAGGTCTTGGACACTCTGCCCATGGCCCTGTGCTCCGCTGGCGGATGATCCGGGGAAGTTGGCACGGAGCAGAGTGAACGGGGCCATCCTGGTGCAGCCTGCAGGCCTCCCAGGAGGGTGGCATGCAGGTCAGGGAGAATGGTCCAGAACTCTGGCCAAGGCCGGTTCTGTGGTGGAGACATGCCACTGGGCCAAGACTGGGGCAGAGTGGAGCTTCTCGGCCAAGCAGCTTTTCCCGCAGCGGCAGGTTGGGGCTGTCGCTCTGTGCAGAGAAACCAAGACGCCTCCTGGGCCCGTCCCCAGCTTCGCCCCTGAGCTCTGCTCATGCGTGGGTCCAGGACAGCAGACCCCTCTGGGAGACTAAGTCAGGATGGAGGTGGCTGGCCCCAAGCCCCTACCGGCTTCCCAGAGACTAGTTGTCTCCCTGGGCCTTCAGCCCTCAAGTGGTCTCGGGGAGGGAAGGAACTCCTGCAGCCTCGGGGACATCTGTTGGAGGACTGGATGGTCAAGAGCCGTGGGCCTTGAGGAGTTTATGGAGGCAGCTGTCAGTGTGCTGTGGTCTGGGACCCTGTTTCTAGGAAAGGAGAGGTGATCAGGGCACAGGTGGCTCAGAACCTCCATGCGGTGTGCCTAGAGCTCAGTGGCTGTCCCGGAACCCCTGAGGGTTGATCTCAGTGTCCAAGCTGAACCTTGTGCCTCTTCAGGGTGGCCGTCCCCGGCCCGGGGGGGCTCTGTGAAGTTGGGGGCAGCAGGACAGTGATTTGTCAGCGGCTCTCGCTGGTGAAGGATCCTTCTGTCCTTCTGCCAGAGGAAATTAACTGATGTTATCAGCTCAGCAATTGTTTTTCTTCCCTCACAAAGGGAAATATATGCAGACCCCCTGAGAGCAAAGCTGAGTCCTCCCCATCTGGGACTGGCTGGAGAGAGAAGGTGGAGGGGTCCTTCAGGGCCCTTCAGGAGCCCGTCTGTCAGGAGGGCTTGTTGCCTCTTTTAGCCCTGAGCAGTACCACTTTCTCTGAAGGCCTCTCTGGCAGGATGCTGGTCCCCTGACCCCCCTCCTCACTCTGGGAATCTGCAAGTTCAGGGCCATGAGAGCCTGGTCTCAAGGCGGCCCCTTACACCCCATGTTCCCTTCCTTCTGATCCAGGCAAGGCTCTGGGGGCCGGGAATCGTTGGGGTTTGACACGAGTTCGTTCTGTGCCTTCATCTCTAGGGGTCATCCGGGACCTCCTTGTCTGGATCAAGAAGAATTTGCTAAAAGAGCGGCCAGAGTTGTTCATCCAGGGAGACAGCGTGTGAGTCCCTTTCTTCCCTTCCCTGAGGAGGGCAGGTGGGGGTGGGGGGCAGGGGGCAGGGAGGAGGTTTGAGCCCCTATCCTTGGGATCACCCACAGCTTTCTCGGGGTCCTGTTCTCCCCGTTATCCTCCTTCCATCTCTGGGCCTCAGCTACTCTCTCCATCTAGGAAGTCCTGAGAAAAAGATGCTGCCCACAGTCCCTTGCATCCCTCGACATTCTGGGGCTCTGGTTGTCCCATAGAACTTCCTGTGATGCTGGAAATGCTGTGTATTCTGTGCTGTTCCTCGTAGTAGCTGCTAAGCACATGAGCCCTAGAAATGTGGAGCCCTAGAAATGCAGATAGTGCCTCAGAGATACCGTACTAGAGGGCACAGGTGTGAAATTCCAGGGAATCACTGTGCACACGGGCATACACACAGGTGCACACACACACGTGCACTGGGGTCAGCGCACCCCTATCCCTAGCCGAGAGCTTCTTGACCTGTCCCAGAACTAGCCCAGCCTCCTGGGAAAAGAGGCATGCTCCCTGTGCCAGGAAGTCACTCTGCTTCTTCAAGAAGGCAGCCTAATGTGTAAGAGAGGTGGGCAAGGCACTTGTGGGTCCCAGTCATTATCCCCTTGAGGCAGAGGTCACCAGCCGGGGCTAAGGCTGCCATTCAAGCCCTGGCTCAGGTCATGGTCCAGGCGTCATGGAGGTCACACCCCCCCCAACCCCCCCGCCAAGGACAGTAGTGCTTCCTGGGCTATTGCGAGCAGGGGCCAGGAGGGTACCTGTCCGGTTGTCAGCCTCCCCTGCCTTGCACGAGGATGGGCTGCTCTCGGGGTTGTGGGTGCTTGAGGCCCCGGGCAGCCTTCCCTGATTCCAAGGAGCCAAGAGAGCCTCTGCTCCATGACGGGCCTGTGGGAGGCCCCAGAGAGTGAGGTGAGACCCCTGGAAAAATATGCTGCCGCTAGTGGTTACCGGCATAGACACAGGTGGGCAGGCGCCTGACACGCATTGTCCCGGCTCATCCTGGCCCAGACCTGGGAAGATGGCTGTGTAACTTGTGCCATTTTCAGATGAGGAAACTGGTGCTCAGAGAATCAAAATGAGTTGTCTGTGGTCTGGGAGGTGGTGTTGGAATTTGTACCCATTTTCCAGATCATCCCAAAGGCTATGACTGGCCTGGTTTCCTTTAGATTCAGTGTCCCCTCCACTTCCTGGGTGCTTTTTAATCTGAACCTCAGGAGGACAAGGTCCCACCACATTGTCCTCCAGCCTCTACCCCTCTGCCGCCGACTACCTCCCGTCCTTCCCTCACTGCTGCTCACACCCTCTTTCCCACAGGCGGCCAGGAATTCTGGTGCTGATTAACGATGCGGACTGGGAACTGCTGGTCAGTACCTCAGGAGACGTCCCTCCCCTCACTGCTGCCCCAGGACAGTCTTGGGTCTTTCATCAGGCCTGGCGGGCGTAGCTGACTAGCCCCCTGTCCCACTTGGCTTCTAAACCGGGGCCACTGAACTGTCCCACCCCAGGGAGGAAGGAGCAGGGAGCTGGGGGAGGTGATGCCCTCTCCTTCTTCCTGAAGATTTGCAGGTTAATGTGCAGGGCACCCATTTTTCTGGTAGATTTTCTCCTCCTCTCCCGAAGTGGCCAGGCCCCCTCCTCCCCTCCCGCCAGCTGAGGAGAAGCCCCTAACGGTCTTCTCCTCTCTCTCCTGGGCCAGGGCGAGCTGGACTACCAGCTGCAGGACCAGGACAGCATCCTCTTCATATCCACGCTGCACGGTGGCTGAGGACCCTACTCTGTGTCCCGGCTCCCATGGGGTGGGGAGAAGAGCACAGTCAGACATCCCCTGGGGCCCCACTTCCAGGTCTCCCTGTCCCCCTTGGCCGCTTTCTTCCCGGCTCTGTCCCCCGAGCTCCCTCCAGGCAGGGAAAAGAGGCCAGGTGCTAAAAATGAGCCTTTCTCAGGCACGTGAGTGGGGGCAGGCGGGCTCAGCCCTGCGTCCTCCCCCAGCAGCCGAGGTGGGGGAGGGTGCCCCTCTGGTTTGTTATAACAGGAGGGGGCTCCCTGGCCAGGTGACCCAGCTGCCGTCTACTCCTTGTGTCTCAGTCCAAACACCGAGTGACCACTGACAAGGCACTCCAGCTCCCGGGCTCTGGTGTCTTCATGGGGAAGATGAATGGACCGGAATAGCAGATAGGAGGCCCCTCCCTTCTCCAAGATAGGAGGAGTCTCTGCCTCAGTTTCCCCATCTAGACAGCAGAGGGCTATGGCTGTCCCCCACTGATATCATTATGGAACCCCAGCTGGGGTCCCCTATTCAGTGCTGACTCCCCCCTCCCAGCAGCTGCTCTCCCAACCACACCCCTCCTCCTGCTCCCCCATCCCCAGCCCTTGACCCTGGCTGGCCTTCCCCCCCCCACAGGCCACCAGATGGGCTCCTAAGACCCTCCCCCAGCAAAAGGCTGCCTGCAGCTCATTCTGGAGAGGGAGAGCGAGGAGCAGGCAAAAGCTTGGACTGGCACATAGAGGCCTGGGGGGTCAGAGGGCCTCAGTTTCCTCCTCAACAGCAACTGAATATTTATAAGTATCTGAAAGCAGGAGTGATCCTTGATGGCACAAATGTAGACTTGATCTCCTTTCCCACCTCCTGCAGGAAGCAGGATGGGGGCAGGCAGCACCTGGTAGGCAGGGTAGGCAGGCCCCTCCTCCCTCCATGCCTTCTGGAAGTCTTGGGGCCTCAGTGCCTGCAACAGCTGGCCTTGGGCAAATAAAAGACTAGGTTGTTTACTAGCTTTGCCTGGAGTTTCATCCTTAGAAACCAGTGGCACCCCAGAACCCCCCAGCCATGGTCCCTGGTCCAACCTCTCTGCCCTCAGCCTAGGGCTTTCAGAGCTGCCCTTCACCCAAAAAGAGGGCAGGGGTTAAAACCCAGACTACACAGACGGTCTGGGAGAGAGTGGTCTGATAGGGCCATCTGGAGAAGGGGATGGCAGAGCCTGTCCGTGCTGACCAGTCTGGGCCCAGGACACTTCTCTACTTGTCCAAGACCCGGCTTTGTTCCACCAGCTGCAGCCTGCAGCCCCAGAAACGAGACTGGGGGTGTCCTATCAGACTGCTGAACCTCCCTTCCCATGATCTGGAGAAGAAGCTTTGCCGGGGGCGGGGGGGGGGGGGGCCCAAAAAAAAAAAATAGGGCATTAGCATCATCCCACCCAAAACATTGCTTTTCATTAAATGTCAGTAATTTAAGGTGGAACCTCCCTCCTTCTGTGGAGGTAAAAGTGCCAGATGATTGCCTCTGCAGTGCCGGGGGTGGAGGAGATGTATACGCGCATCATTCTCAAGGCCTAGAGGACACACGACCCCTGGCTTCTGGGCTTCTCTTCAGTGGTCTGTGGGTAGAGAGCCTCTGGGTATGTGTAGGCAGGGGCCAGCCATGTTGGGGTTATGGGTAGGAGCTGGTCTGAGTGCAAATTGAGGCCAGTGTTGGGTCTGAGTTTTGTCTAGAAAAGCACTATGACCAGCAGAACTTGGTGCTGAGGTCAGGGTCTCCATGTTAGGGAACGATGCAAGAGATTTGAAATGGCCCCCTACAATCGCACTGATTCCTGTAACCTGGAGGTCCCTCCTTGCCTCGAGTCCCGCTGGAGTGGCCCATTGTCCCACCTGGGAGTCCAAGTCCTGGAAACTGGAGGAGAAAATTCCTTTCCTGCCTGCACTGGGAAGAGGGAGAGTAGGTTCGGGATATCCCTTCTGCCAGGGCACCCCAAATTAATGCTGAGGAGTAAGGCAGGACCCTACACTAAGAAAACCGGGTTCTCCGCACCCTCGCTGAAACTGTCCCAAGCCCCGCTCTGCAGCATTTTGGGTCATTTTCAGTCCCCAGCAGGACAGAGGTCAGGAACAGGTGACCTGGGCTCAGCACCAGCAATGCCCAGCTGCCCCCCACAACTCCTGAACCCCCACTTTTGAGTAAATAAACGAATAAGTAAACCCCACTATCTCCGAAGATTTGTCTTTAATGAAAAGGATTCATTTGTCCAAGTTGTTTCCAAAGCCAAGGGGATCGCCCGGCTGGAGCGCATCATTCCCGACGCTTCTCAGTCCTGCAGCGGCTGGAGGAGGCTTAGCCCATCGGTCCGTCTGGAGGGGCTGGCGGGAGGGGTCGGTTTATTTGGGATTTAGGGGTTGGTTTACGCTCTTTTGTTTAGGGGGTATTGGTCGGGGCTAGGTTAAAACCAATTCAAAACGAATTCGTGAGCGTTTTCTGCCGGCATCTTCTTTCGCCCCCGACTTGGTGCGGCTCGGGCCGAGGGCAGGCTCCCCGGACCACATTCGTGTCCCGCCGCGGCGTGCCAGCTTCATTCCCGGCCGAAATTTGAAAAAGGGAAAAACGACGCTATCGACTGGAGGCCCCCGCCAGCCACGACTGGTCACCCGCAGAGGAGGAGGAGAAGGAGGAGGACGACGACGACGACGAGGATGAGGATGGCGGCGCTGGTGGCAGGGACCGGCGTCCCTCCTTTGCGCTCCCGGCTGGGGCCGCGATCGTGGCGCTGGGGCCAGCCAGCCGCCTCCCCCGAGGGGTCTCGCCGGTGCGGAGCTTGGTCCCTGCGGCTTCCGCCCCTGTTGCGCCCGGAGCTCAGCCACAGATGTCCAGCCACAATTCTCGGTTGGCCGCAGACTCGTACAAGAATTGCGTTTGGACAATCAGTGGCGAAGCCCCCGAGTTCGGGGCCCCGGTTTCCTGCGTGCGGGGTTCCGCTTGGCTCCTTAAAAGCGCCGGACCAGGAGATCTCCGGAGCTGCGCGTCCGACTACCTCGCAGACGCTCAGCGGTCGCGGCCCATCCCCGCGGTAAGGTGGACGAACAAGCACGCGGATCCCGACCCTGCGTGGGGATCCCCATCGCCCCTGGCGTGTGTCTCCTTCGATCGCGGCCCGGGGTCCCTAGAGTAGCCCGCGTTGGGTCTCCGTGCCGCCCTGAGTCGGGGGAATCTCCTCTGTCAGGCCTGGGGAACCCCAACTCCCTTCTCCCCGCCCCCAGCCTGCGCTCCCCGGGCTCGCCGGGAATCCGGAAAGCAGGGGCCCGAGGCCGGGTCTCCGAGCCCGGGGTGCGGGCTGCTGGACTCGTGGGGTCCCCGCCCCCGCCCAGCCCCGCGCACGCACCGGCTCCGGCGCTCTCCGCTTCCCTGTGGCTGAGTCGCGGCCGGGGCGCCAGCGGTAGCGGTGGCGGCGGTGGCCGGGGCGGCGGGGAGCGCTGGAATGCGCCGCCGGGTCACCTGCAGCGCCCGGGGAGCCGGGCTGGGAGCCGGCGGGCTGGCGAGGCGTAGGGCTGAACCCGAGCGGGCGCCTCTGGCGGCTCGGGGCCGGGGCGGGCTTTTAGTGGGCCGCTCCAACAATACGGGCCTGGCGCGGAGAAAGGGGCTCGGCTGCAATTGGTACTGGATTTGAATAACGCCACGGGGCCATCAATGGTCATTGTGTCGGCGGGTAATGAATCTCCGCTGTCTCTCGGGCTGGCCAGGCAGCTGCAACCTGCGCTCAGGCAGCTCTTAAAGACATAGCGTGCCCCTCCCCGGGGGCGCCCCCCTCCCCTGCACCGGCGGGACCCCTCGCCCTCCCACCCCCACCCTGCGCCCTAGACTCCCAGTGCTCTGCCTGCTCCCTAGGCCGAACCCTTTGCTCATCGCCCCCTCCCTCGTCCTGGGCCAGGCACCCGCATCTCGGTGCTGCACTCCCATGGACCTGACCCAGGCCCCCTGGCCTGCGCTGAGCTCCCCAGGAGTGCCCAGGGGACCCCAGAGGCTTTTCCAGGCCCAACCCTGGCCTCCCATCTGCAGCTATACCTGAGGGCCTCCAGAGCCCTCCTTCTTTAAGCTGCCGCCCTAGGGGCTTCTAGCTAGAGGGTGAGGGGGAACAGTCTGGAGGTCAGAGGGTCACCCCCTTAAAAGGCTCTGCTCAGGGGTAAGGGTGGAGGGCATGCAGTCCCAGCCCCCAGGCTGAAGATGCCATCTCCAGAGACCACACCCCCACTAGGGATCTGGAGACTGCCCTCTCCCCAGACCAAGGACAAGGGCTTGATTCCCAGGATACCTCCTGCAGGCTCCTGGACACCTCAGCTCGGCGTGGAGGGGGCTGGCTGGGGGGGGTGGAGGAGTAGGGGGAGGGTGAGAGGGGCGTGGATGCTATTAATGTTTATCTTGTCTCTTCCACTGGACAGACCACTGGTTCGGGAGGGTTGGGGCTCTGTCTAGGTCTGATGTGCCCCCCACCCCCAGCCCAGCCAGGTCTGGCGCAGAGAAGGTTCTGTCAGCTGGGGGAATACATACCAGTTCCTCACCCACACTGCTCAGCCCGTCTTTCCCAGGGAATCCCACACCCCGGGCCGGTAGAGTGTGGCCATTGCACCCATACATCCTGTGGTCCTCCGTCCGCCCCAGGGTTCCCCAGACCCTCAGAGGACCCCTGTCACCGCCCTGAAATCCTCTCCTCAGCCCACCTGTCCACGTGCACCCACAGGATTGCGGTCATCAGTTTGTCTGTTCTCACCAGACAAGAAGTGGATCCTACTACTCTTGCCTCTGGAGCCTAGCACAGTGCCGCCCCCCACACACCCCACCCATCACTGAGTGTCCGTTATTATCCGCTGCTGGCTTAAACGTGAATCACGTATGCCTCTTGGAGTTTCTTCCAAGAAGTTGAAAAAAAAAATGGCTTCTGGGGAGCAGTACTTGAAGTCAGGGTTTCATGGAGAGAGAACCCTGCTAACCAGGTCCCAACTCTTGGGACGAACCATCTAATAATAATAATAATAGCCACAACAAATACTTGAAGTGCCAAGAACTAAGCGCTTTGAAGGCAGTAGCCTGTGGACTGTCCTGAGAAGTGGATACTTAGCAGCCCCACTTTACAGATGAAGAAACTGAGACCAGAGGCAGTGAAGTTCGTAGCCGCTAGCCAGCAGGCGACCAAGCCAGAGCTGGAACTCACTGGCCGCTGGTTTCCAGCTTTCACTCAGCGGGGCAGAGATACTGACGGGACTTGTGGAAAGGCACACGCCAAGTGGTAGGACCCAGGAGACACCCACGTCTTAGAAATCCCGTCCCAGACTGGTCCAGTCTGACAGGAACACAACCTTGACGGAGCTGGCCAGAGTGGTCTCTGCACCCGTGCAGAACTCCCGGAACTCCCAGGGCCTCCTCCTCAGAAAGCCACATTCTACGATCTAATCTACATTTTCCACCCCCGGGGTATGTCAGAGCTATTTAAAGCCATCAGTCCTGGGCAGAGAAGGGTCAGTTGGCCTCATCCTCATCCTCAGGAAAACTGAGGAGCCAGGAAGGGTCTTATCACGCGAGTCATTGAAAAGATATTTCTAGAATGCCTACTGTGTGCTGGTGGGGATTCAGCCACGGGCAGTTCCCCCCCTAAGGCTGATCGGGGAGAGGGAAAGGGGGGAGGAGACCCCAGTCCCCCTAGAGTGGGGAGTCAGGTGAAGGTGGCGGGCCGCGGAGGCGGGCACTGTTCCAGGCAGAGGGCATGGCACGCCCCAAAGCTGACAAGCAAGAAAGAACGGGGAGAGTGGGAAGGGAAGCCATTCAGCGTGGCTGGAGCTCGGAGAGGAAGAGGAAGTGCCAGATAAAGCTGGGGTTGACCCTGCCGGGCCCTGTCGGACTCTGGGAGGATTTGTGATTTTATCCTAAACACAGTGGGGATCCTGGAGGGTCTGACACGTTCAGATTTACATTTTTAAAGGTTTGCTGAGGCTGTTGGGTCAAGAATGGGGGTGG